GGGAGTGGGAAAAAGGTGGAAAATCAGGTATGGCAAGTTTGTACTACAATTGAGGAGAATTCTTAAGAGGAGCGAGAACTGTGCACATGTCGCCATTTAAATTAATTAAAATTAAATGCAATTTAAACTTCATTTCCTTCGTCACACTAGCCACCTTTCAAGTGCTTAATAGCCACATGTGGCTAGTGACTATCATATCACAGGACAGATATAGAACATTTCCATCAGTGCAGATATTTGTATTGGGCAGAATTTTGTCACATTATTTCTCACTTCCATGCAGTAGAAGACACTTGTGACTTCTGTGACAGCACCGAAGTATTTATTTTTTCCTTTAATGAACACACCATTTAGCTAACAGGGCTAAGAAATTTTAGTTAGGATGGCTATTTTGAATATATCTAAAGCAGTACAAATTTAAATTGTTGATTTATGGAATATATGGATTAAGCACTTTTCAAGAATTGACCAGACATTTGTGTTTAAAACCTGTAGCTTGAATTAAACATGGCTTTCATTACCTACCACGTGTGTGGCCTTGACTGACTTGTGCTGTACTTATGAACTGGCAAGGTAGGCGTCTCCACGTTGAAGTCCTTTGATATGTGATCAAATCTTTTTTAAAATTTGTATATTCTTTTTGAAAATTGAGGTGAAATCCATATAACATAGAATTAACCGTTTTAAAGTGAACAATTCAGTGGCATTTTAGTGCATTCACAGTGTTGTACAACTACCTCCTCTATCTAGTTCCAAAACATTTCTGTCACTCCAAATGGAAACCTGTACCCATTAAGCAGTTACTTCCCATTCCCCTTTCCTCCTAGCTTCTGCCATTCACCAGTCTGCTTTCTGTCTCTATGGATTTACCTATTCTGAACATTTAATGTAAGTGGAATTGTACACCATGTGACCTTTTGTGTCTGTCTTATTTCACCATGATCAAATTTTAACTAACAATTTTTTTTTCTTTTTTTTTGCTGAGGAAGATTCACCCTGAGCTAACATCCATTGCCAGTCTTCCTCTGTTTTTATATGGGTCACCGCCACAGCATGGCTGCCAACGAGTGGTGCAGGTCTATGCTCGGGATCTGAACCCGTGAATCTGGGCCGAGGCGGAGTGCACCAAACTTAACCGCTATGCCATGGGGCCAGCCCCTTAACTGACAGTTTTAAGATCCAGATTATCATCTGTGTTAAACTACAGTCAGTACTATTGCCTGACTGTCTTCTGGTAAAATCTTTTCACTTCTTGTTTTAAAATTTGTGGTAATATACCTAGTATCACAGCCAGTTCATTAATCTTCCTTTATCAGAAACTATAGTACTGGTTTCTCCTTTTAATTTGGGGTATGGTAGTTTTATTCACTAGTACACTCTGATGGCTTTCTCATTTAATTAGAATTGTTCCTTTTTTGAATACTTGATAAGGGCACATTTCTGAACATGGAGATACCATTGGAAGATATGAAGCTGTAGTTGCATTCCTCAGGAGGATTACTAACTTCTTCACTAGCAGATGTGAACTGTGCAGGACTTGAGAAGTCAAGCCCTAATTGTCATCTGTTTGCCAACCATGAACAATGATTTGGAGTTTAGTAGAATTCTAAGCCCAGGCTAATGAGCAGCCAGTAAGATCTGGCTGTGATAAGCATTATGAATAAGGCCAGAGTAGAATGAACGAGAAAGGGTTGCATGTGCCTGTGTGAAGACTAGGTACAACTATATTGAGAAATTTAAGTTTAAAGAACATCTTGCTGTATCTGTGATTTTTCTGGCTCATTATTCCAAAAACATCAGTTCAGAAATGTTGCTAGCATTGCCAGTGGGTTTATAATGAGATCCATGGTCTGAATGCATGGAAAGCTTTTTTCCATTGTGGGGAAACTATGGTCAACTTCTTATTTGGGGCCCTTTAACATCATTACGTGTATATTAAACACTTATTTGCTTTTGGTACTTGACTCTATCTCTGCCTCTGTAAGCTTTACAGACTTAAGACAAACATAAATGTACGATGTTTTGAAAAATAAAACCATGAACAGATTTTCATTCTGCTGCATTATGCAGCCATGGAGGTGGTCTCATGACTGCTGTCACTGTCCTGAGAAGTGCCTTACAACCTTATGCATGTATTGCACATTTGTAAATCTAAGAGATGGTTCTAGAACTAGGTGGTCGGGTGTATTTACTATTGGGTTTTGAAAAACTCGGTTGTAGTTTGGGATCTCTTATTAATGATAAGATGATGGGAGAGCCCACCATATCAGTCGTCTCAGTCTTTCTCCTGCCTTAAAATACTTGTATATCATCACTTGCTCAGTTTACTTTTACTGAGGGATTTTCAACAGGGGCCGTTTGAGGAAGGGCAAGATGGCACTGTATAACTTGGAAAAGCCCAGTGAGTCTGATAGGTCTGAATGTTAGATGGTAGTGATTACAGTCATCTATTTCACAGGGTTTTGGGGGAATTAAATGAGATAGCAGTCAGCACATAAGGCTCAATAGAAATTAGTTGGAGTTAGGGTAATTTGCCACCCCACCTCCACCTCCAGCACGGTGTGGATTTGTGAGTGCTTCATATCCCTGTCTGGCCTACAATAGATACTCAGTACAAATTAGATGATACAATGGAGTTGATACTCAGTACATGTTAGGGGTAGGGTGGAGACCCATTTGTTGGATACCTGCTTGGTGCCAGGAGTTATGTAATTGACACTAAACAAATGTATTCTCTCATTTAATCCTCTCAGCAGTCCTGACAGGCAATGGCATGTCATTTCAATAATTTCAGTGAAATAATTGTATTTCACGACTTGTGACAAGCCAGGATTTAAAGCCAGGAGTCAGCTCAGTTCTAGCCCTATGCTGCGTCTTCCATCCCTAGGGTGGCGTATGAACTTGATTCACTTAGTACTGCCTGGCTTTCTCTGAAAATTGAGTAATTTTTCCTTACTTTACCTATAAATTTTTCTTTGAAATAGGAAAAAAAGAAAAAGTTAATCTATATTATGTTTGAAGTACAACTCCTTTACCTTCCAAACTAGTTTAAGTGATTTTTTCCCATTTCAGTTAATATCCTGCTAATCCCATAGGTTAGGGTTGTCTTAGACCTTTCATTCTACCTTCCTAGGAACACCTGTCAGATGTTGCCTCTATTAGCTGTGCCCTTCCCTTTCCTCTCTAGTTGTGCTGCTCAGTTGTCCTAATGGCGTACCTTCTTGTAGTAGTAATGTTGGTCTTTCTTTTTTTTTTTTATATTTTATTTTATTTATTTATTTATTTTATTTTTTTCCCCAAAGCCCCAGTAGATAGTTGTATGTCATAGCTGCACATCCTTCTAGTTGCTGTATGTGGGACGCAGCCTCAGCATGGCCAGACAAGCGGTGCATCGGTGCGCGCCCAGGATCCGAACCCGGGCCGCCAGCAGCGGAGCGCGCGCACTTAACCGCTAAGCCACGGGGCCGGCCCGAATGTTGGTCTTTCTGCCTGTAGAGTCTTTCCCTCTCCAGTTCATCTACATAATACCATAGAATGATCTTTCTAAGTGACACTTGGCATGTCACTTCTCTCTTCAAAAAAACTTGGTTGCCCTTTACCTTTCGGGGACAGGAAATTACTTTCATCAATGCTTCATGTTATTGAAGATTGGGGCCAAAACTTTTTCTTGACTTTATAAGTGTTAATACTTCTGGGCAGTGATTTTAAATATGAGTTTTTGTGGGTTATTAATTCATTATTCTCTATTACTTGGTGTGCAGGATTCATATGACTTCAAATTCTTTGTCTTTTTGCATCTTGGAGACTCTTTAAAGCAAGAGCACTTTCATATTGGAGTATCATTTAGGTTTATCAGACGTACGAAATAAACTTACATATTTGGGAATCAGTATATATTTCTCATACATCTCTTCCAGTGATGTCATAAGTACATTTGTGGTGTGACAACTGTGGAAACTGGATTGTTGCTTGATCTTAGAATTCTAGTATAGGACAACACTGGCATCATTCTAATCACCTTTTCTGAGATGTTGAAGGGACCTATGTGCATTTCAGGGACTTTATATGAGTGTCCTTTTTATTTTATTGGTATAAAATAGAATTTATTCAAGGATCTTAATAAATATGTATGATTATAAAATCTTAAAGGGGGCTAATCCTAGCGTTCTTGGGCTAGAGCTGCCGAGAATCTAGAGAAGTACAGACTATTTGTTGAGCAAAATCTTAGTAATTTAATCTGCGCTGGGCTATAGGTTACTTTTATAATATCTGTGAGGGAAAAATCTATAAAGCAAATTAAGAGAATAAGCATGCTTTTATGAATACATTTCAGTACTGAAAATGTTTTTAAAATTGGCTGTAATTGATAGATTTTTAAAATAGGTTAAACAGAGACTTTTTTTTTTTTTTTTTTTTTTTGCTGAGGAAGATTCGCCCTGAGCTAACACTGTTGCCAATCTTCCTCTTTTTGTATGTGAGCCGCCAGCACAGCATGGCCACTGACAGACGAGTGGTGTGGATCTGCGCCCGGGAACGAAACCCAGGCTGCCGAAGCATAGCACGTCAAACTTAACCAGTAGTCCACCCGGGCTGGCCCTAACAGAGACTTCTAATTTGAAAACCTGAGTTAGTTGCCATTAGTCTGAATTATGGAGGTTTTTGTTATGTTACTGAATTTCTGTTTTTGCTGTATTTTAAAAAATAAGTAAGGGCCGGCCCTGTGGCTTGGTGGTTAAGTGCGCGCGCTGCGATGCTGGCGGCCCGGGTTCGGATCCCGGGTGCGCATCGAGGCACCACTTCTCTGTCCATCCTGAGGCCGAGTCCCACATACAGCAACTAGAAGGGTGTGCAGCTGTGACATACAACTATCTACTGGGGCTTTGGGGGCAAAAAAATAAATAAAAAATCTTTAAAAAAAATAAAAAATAAATAAAAATAAAAAATAAGTAAAATGGATATATGGGTCTCAATTTTTAATAGAACTTATTTCTATTAAACAGCACCTGTGGAACCTTCTCAAGAGGAACAATCATTGTTGTGTGAAGGTAAATTTCTATGATGTGACTCTTTGAATATCTAATTGAGAAAACATTAAGTTGTCTATGGTGTGTAAAGCTAGATATTGTTTTGTAAATATATATTATATCTCAATTTCTTGTCTAGGTTCAAATTCAGCTGTTAGCATGGAACTTTCAGAACCTGTTGGTAAGAAAATTTCTGACCATATTAATACAGTAATATGAAACTCTTGCACTCTCAAGATTTAAGGTACAAATGTAAGTGTTATGATTATTGTAATGCCTACATTTAAAACTGACATTGAGTCTTTGCTATTAGGATTTAGAAAGCAGAACTAATTGGGCACTCACACAGCCATGATAAATTTAGTGATTGCAAATATAAAAGAATTGAGTGGAGGAATGCTCAAGTCAGTTTAAATAGTTGTACTTGTTCCATTTACTTTGTAAAAAATTTCCTTCCTTTTTGTAACTTTCTTACTCTTAAGGGTTTCATATTCCCAAGGTGATTAATAAAGTTGATGCCAAAGTTATATTACTTGCAGAGGAAAAAGAAAAGATCTCCTAAATCCTTTTACGTTTTTCCTGGGTTCTGATTTTAAACTTGCCATTTTTTCCCATCAGGGCATCTTGACACTGGAATAACTGGGCTATTAGGAATGTTAGCTCTCCTGTTCACATTTTGTTTGTCCTTATGAAAATGAAGCTTCGTTAAAATAGCAATCTCTCATAGTCTCTGAGTCAGAGTTCTGACGTCAGCACTGAGGCCAGCTCGAAAGCTATTATCCATTTCTGTTATGAAAGAGATTTTCTTGCATATGTGTCACTAGATATTAGGAAATTGAACTAAATATGCAAAAGTTCTATTTGTTGTTTGCAAGCATCTGTGTTTTAAGGTATAGATTATAAATCTTTTTCAGAATACTAAGTTAAAATGTCTTATTTCAGTAGAAAATGGGGAGACAGAAATGTCCCCAGAAGAATCATGGGAGCACAAAGAAGAAATAAGTGAAACAGAGCCAGGGGGTGGTTCCTTGGGAGATGGAAGGCCTCCAGAAGAAAGTCCCCAAGAAATGATGGAGGAGGAAGAGGAAATACCAAAACCTAAATCTGTGGTTGCACCGCCAGGTGCTCCTAAAAAAGAACATGTAAATGTAGTATTCATTGGGCATGTAGGTAAGTTGCACTCAGCAATGATAAGAAATGACCAAAGTTATTTGATACATCAAACATAGAACATCTTATTTAGCTACTTGAAGATGTTTAGTGAAACTGAACTGAATTAATCTAAAATGTCTTGATTTTTAACTCGACAGATATTTTAGCTGGCAAAAAATTGCCAGCACTTTGTTCTTCAAGGTTGGCCAGACTAACAATTTTGTAATGGCATGGAAGCTGGAAGAAAATAAGCTTCAGTATATATGTATGTAATGTATAATCGGTCTACAGACCACTGATGATGGCTCAGTGTATTATGACATCTATTTTTTTTTTTTTCTTTTCTGTGAGGAAGATCAGCCCTGAGCTAACATCCATGCTAATCCTCCTCTTTTTGCTGAGGAAGACTGGCTCTGAGCTAACATCTATTGCCAATCCTCCTCCTTTTTTCCCAAAGCCCCAGTAGATAGTTGTATGTCATAGTTGCACATCCCTCTAGTTGCTGTATGTGGGACACGGCCTCAGCATGGCCGGAGAAGCGGTGCGTCGGTGCACGCCTGGGATCTGAACCTGGGCCGCCAGTAGCGGAGCACGCGCACTTAACCGCTAAGCCACGGGGCCGGCCCCTGACATCTATTAATATCCTAGGAAACGTACTTTTTTTTTTGCATGAACTTCAGCTAATTTGTTAATTTTATGAGATTAACCTTACTAGGTTGTTTAATTTTGTGTGACATAAGAAATTAATAATTTGGAGTAACTTCTGGATGCTTGTCAGGTTGCTGGCTTAACGCACACACAAAAAAACAAAACAAAACCTTGTTTAATTTACTCAGATATTCTCTGACCATCTGACTTATCCCCAAAATGGTGAGAAGAAAATATAGAATTATGTGTCCTTTTTTTCTTCCCTTTATCTCTGCCTTCCCTTGAATATAATGATACACCATTCTATTTGTTTAGTAGCAAGAACTTCTTTGAAATTTATAAAGGAACACCTATATTTGTTAAAAGAAAGGCAGACTACCTAAATGTAGTTTACAGCTCTTTGGCTACTCTTGTTTTCCTCTGAGGCTCCCCTTGGGTAATTTATATTCTGTTGCTGCTGTGCTCTTAGCTGTAGGTCTGTTCAAAAATATTTTTTTTCTTTATCAGTAAAGTAATTCTGAGTCATTATTGAGCTGCAAGGGGTCTTTGCAGCTTCATGTTCCAAGGGAGAGGGTACCTAACCAGGGCTTATGCCCCAAATTCCTATCATTTCATTTGCTTTTCCAAGATGTAATATATGCTAAATGATACCTTTAGTTGTGTTAGTGAATATAGCAGTTGGTGTTTTTGGGTTTTTTTTTATACTTATAGTTTGCATATTATTGATGATGATGTTACTTTTAGATGCTGGCAAGTCAACCATTGGAGGACAAATAATGTAAGTCTGTATTTTTTGTTAAATAATAGAGTTAACTTGATAGAATGATTTTCGGGCATTGTAAACATTGATATAGTCATACAGAGGAGATAGAACAGGTCACCCCAAGTGAAGAAAAATTAATAATAAAATGACATGACCTTTAGGGAAGACTGATGTTAAGAAGTAATTTTTGCACTGTGATCATTTTTAGTATTTTCTGATGGATTTTAGGCTTTCCCTAAAATTCTTTTGTTATTGCTGTCAGACTCATAGAATATTAAATGTATTTCTGAAAGCTGTCGTTTAATTTTTTTTTTTTTTTTTGATAAAAACTAATATAGAACCCTAGATTATAGGAAATCTTAGTCTGTTTGAATAGAATTTTCTTGGGAATAATGAAAACCAGATCTTGAATCTGGTGCATGGGGGGAGCTAGTTTTTCCTCCTTCATCAGCTCCTTAAATTTATGTGGATTCAATCAAAGACAGGTACTCTGGATAACATGCTAAGATAATTTTTTATCATATATAAAAGCTATTTAGGTATGAAAACACCATGGTTGAACTTCAGTGATGTATTCTAGTATTAAAAAGTCTTTTTTTTTTTTTTTTTTTTTGAGGAAGATCAGCCTTGAGCTAACATCCATGCCAATCCTCCTCTTTTTGCTGAGGAAGACCGGCCCTGAGCTAACATCTATTGCCAATCCTCCTCCTTTTTTCCCTTTTTCTCCCCCAAGCCCCAGTAGGTAGTTGTATGTCATAGTTGCACATCCTTCTAGTTGCTGTATGTGGGACGCGGCCTCAGCATGGCTGGAGAAGTGGTGTGTCGGTGTGCGCCTGGGATCCAAATCCTGGGCCACCAGTAGCAGAGTGCGCCACTTAACCGCCAAGCCACAGGGCCGGACCCTGTAAAAAATCTTTTTAATTAAAAAATCTTACATTTTTAATCCCTCCTAAATTTAGACCCATTTCTTTAAACTATATCATCAGAGGATCTAGAGGGATCTTGCCTTGTTAAGTAATCTTAGTTGGTAATCTTGCCAGTTATTGCTGAAAATTTCCACAAGAGCCCCTAAAACAGGCTCTTGAACAGGAATCCTTAACTAAGGCTCTATGGATGGACATGTCGGGCCCATTTGATGTTGTGTTTTAGGAAAATGTATATTTTTTGCTTAATGGGCTATAATTTTCATTGGCATTTCACTGGGATTCTACACTGATGGTTAGAAGCATGCACTATAGATGACTGTAGAGAACACATAGAGATGAAAGCTAGAACAGGAAGGCTTTGATTTGAGTTGAGTCAAGGGAAGCAGTTAGGTATCACCAAGGAATTATTTTAAAATTATAATCTCACTTTGACAGATGATATTTTTATTTTTTAATAATTTTTATTTATTCATTTTTCCCCCAAAGCCCAAGTAGATAGTTGTACGCCATAGTTGCACATCCTTCTAGTTGCTGCATATGGGACGAGGCCTCAGCATGGCCAGACAAGTGGTGCGTCGGTGCGCGCCTGGGATCCGAACCCGGGCCGCCAGCAGCGGAGCGCGTGCACTTAACCGCTAAGCCACGGGGCCGGCCCGACAGATGATATTTTTAAAATGTTAAATATTGAAATGTATTAGTAAGACTTAATTGCCTAGACAACATTGTTGGAATTATTTTCTTTTATGTAGTATTTACATTTGCTTTTTTAAAAAGCTTTTATTCTGAAATAATTCAGACTTACAGAAAGGTTGCAAAAATAGTACAGAGAGTTCCCATATTCGTTTCATTCAGCCTACTGCAATGTTAACGTATTAAGTAACCATAGTACAGTCATCAAAACTAGGAAGTTAACATTGGAACACTACCGTTAACTAAACCATAGATCTTATTTGAATTCCACCAGTTTTTCCACTAATGTCATTTCTCTATTCTAGAATTCCACATTGCATTTAGTTAGTTACATCTCCTTAGTCTCCTTCTACTTGTGACATTTCCTCAGTCTTATCTTTTATGACCTTCATAATTTGAAGAGTGCTATTCCGTTATTTTATAGGATGTTCTTCAGTTTGGGTTTGACTGATGTTTTTCACAATTAGATTGAGGTTATGTATTTGGGGCAAGAATATCACCGAGGATAGTTTGTGCTCTTATCAGAGCATCCTGTCAGGGAGTACATGATGTCAATATTCAATATGTTTTATTTATTACTGGTGATAATAGCCATGATTACTTAGTTAAGGTCTGCCAGGATTCTCCACTGTAAAGTTATTATTTTTTCCTTTATCTCGGGGGAGATAATTTGAGACTATGTAAATATCTTTTCCACTGAAACTTACCATGATTTCTGCATCCACTACTTTTTTGGAGTTGAAATTCTTCTCCAGAGCTTTAAAGGTTTCCTAACTTCACTGAATAATTTGTGAGTAATTAAGTGTTTACTTCTTTTTTCTTTAAACGTTTTCAGGTATTTGACTGGAATGGTTGACAAAAGGACACTTGAGAAATATGAAAGAGAAGCTAAAGAAAAAAACAGAGAAACTTGGTATAGTAACCTTTGATGACGCTATAAATTACTTCTAAGGAGACACTACCTACTTCATGCTTTTGTAGTCTACTAAGATATAAGTTCATAAGGTCTAAAATGGTGTCATAACAAAGGAAAAGTTTCCCTTCCCCTCATACTACACAGTAGATCAGTTCCTGATGCCTTCATAACTTACACAGAGAAAATTTAGAAACATCCAAACATCCAGTTATACGAGACTTGATAAGTTATAAACCATCCATTTAGTTGGGCCATTACCTAACCACTGAAAAATTGCATTCATAGAATTTATAATAACCAGGAATAGAATTTATGTTAACAGTGGAATTTGGGGAGAAAGCAGGAAATACAATAGTACTTAGGATATGATCATTAACTATGTAAATAAAGACTGGAAAGAAGAAAGAATGGATGGTGGTTGCCTTTCAGTGGTGAGATAAAGGGTCAACTCTTTTCTTCTGTCTAACCTTACTTATTACTTTTATTTTTTAAAAGTTAACAAGTTTTATCTGAATGGGACATTGATGGTCTTTTTTTTTTTAGTTGTATTCCTCTGTATTAAGGGAAAAACATTCTAATCAATGTTATACTAAAAGAATGGATTACATACTATGAAATACAGATGGTGAAGTAATCTAAATTAATGCCTACTATTAGAGATAATTTGAACTTAATATAAATAATTTTTATATGGCAAAGAAATATTGAAATAATTTTTAGCAAGTAACCATTGCTCCCAAATGGCAGCTTAGTGGCCTTCACTTTTCAAAAATATCCTTAGCCATTATTTGTATTATATTTTGTGCCAAATGATTATAAAAATGAAATATAAAGTAACTTATTACTTAACTCATGGTGATATTGGCATTGGTACTAAGTAGTCTTTCTGTATATGTTGTCAGCTTGTTTTCATAAATAATGTTTGCTTATAGAAATATATAATTGTGATATATGTAAAATCTCCAAGTGTTTGAGTCACAATAATACCAGTTTTATTCTCTTAATTTTCATTTCCACCCAGTCCTGTTCATGACTTAAATGTTGTATGCTGGACATAAAGCTGGATGTTATCAATAACACCTTTCATGGTAGAAGAAAATCTTAAAAACTATCATGTTCTTATCAGTATTATTCTTATTTTAACATTATTTCAGGTACTTGTCTTGGGCCTTAGACACAAATCAAGAAGAACGAGACAAGGGTAAGACAGTAGAAGTGGGTCGTGCCTATTTTGAAACAGAAAAGAAGCATTTCACAATTCTAGATGCCCCTGGCCACAAGAGTTTTGTCCCAAATATGATTGGTGGTGCTTCTCAAGCTGATTTGGCTGTCTTGGTAAGAAAAACATTTCCAATTCACCTGTGTATTTGTTAGCAGTTCCACTTAAATTTTAAATATTTGAATTTACCTTCTAAAAGCTAGACTCTTAGGTTTCAGTGAACTATAGTATACACAGTCGTAATGTTCACTTTCATCTCACTAATCTGCTCAAGAAATCTTTATAATTTGATTTACTTATGAAAATAGGTTTCAGCTTTTCTCTCCCCTTGAATCCTCTATTAATGTGTCAGATCTTAGTGTCCACTAAATTCCAAGCCTAGTCCATTTTGTACCCACTAAATGCACTGTGGGTACAAAAATGAATAAGAAATGATCTGTTTTCTTAAGGCCTTCAGTCATTTTGCGTTTTTGTTTTGGTCAATGTACTGACAGTAAATCACATACATGTTTGAATTGTAGCATATAAAGGTATAGTAGAGTTTGGAAAATGGGAGATCAGCAGAAACATTTAACAAAATCTTAAACCATTTAAACATTGTGATGTTCGAAAGCATGTATGTTATAACTCATTTGCTTCTATTTTCTTGCAAAAAGTGGATAAAACTGAAACGAAAGATGTTTTACTGCTAGAATGGCATACGAGAATGTGTAAGAATAAACTATTTGATTTCTTGGAATAGGTAATCTCTGCCAGGAAAGGAGAATTTGAAACTGGATTTGAAAAAGGAGGACAGACAAGAGAGCATGCAATGTTGGCAAAAACAGCAGGTGTAAAACACTTAATTGTGCTTATCAATAAGATGGATGATCCAACGGTAAATTGGAGCAATGAGAGGTAAGCTTAGATGTCTTACTATATTTTATAGACATGTTAATGAAATAAAGGATGGTTTTGTTACTATATGCTTTTTTCTCCTGGGGTTTTTCTAACTCTTAATTTTTTTAATGAAGCTAGAGTTCAGTTGCTTTACATTATAATTGAGTTATTTATATAAATATTCATAGATATGAAGAATGTAAAGAGAAACTGGTGCCATTTTTGAAAAAAGTTGGCTTCAATCCCAAAAAGGATATTCACTTTATGCCCTGCTCAGGACTGACTGGAGCAAATCTTAAAGAGCAGTCCGACTTCTGTCCTTGGTACATGTAAGTGACCTTTTCTTCCTTTGAAAAAAAGTTTATGTTTTAATAAGTAATTTAAGAAATATTGACTTTAACCTTGGCATTAAAAATACCATGGCCATTGCCCATGTTTTAATTGGGTTGTCTTTTTGTTGTTGAGTTGTAAGAGTTCTTTATGCACTGGATACAAGCCGCTTATCAGATACATGATGTGCAGATATTTTCCCCCATTCTGTGGGTTATCTTCACTTTCTTAATGGTATCCTTTGAAGCACAAAAGGTTTTAATTTTGATGAAGTCCAGTTTATTTTTTCTTTTGTTGATTGTGCTTTTGGGGTCATACCAAGGAAAACATTGCCTAGTCTAGTCATGAAGAGTTAGACCTGTTATTTTCTTCTAAGCTTGTTATAATTTTAGCTTTTACATATAGGTGTGTGTTTCATTTTGGGTTAATTTTTTTGTAAGGTAAAGTCTTGATTACTGTAGCTTTGTCAGTTTTCAAATTGGGAAGTGTGAGTCTTTGAATTTTGCCTTTTTTTCCAAGATTGTTTTGGCTGTTCTGGATCTTTTGAATTTCCATATGAACATTAGGATCAGCTTGTCAATTTCTGCGAAAAGGCAGCTGGGATTTTAATAGAGATTGCATTGAATTTGTAGATCAATTTGGGGAGCATTGCTGTCTTGACAATATTAAGTCTCCCAATCCATGTACTGTAGATTTAAAGGGGAAATTAATTTATAGAATCCTGATTTCAGAGCTGGAAAAGTCCATAAAAATTAAGTAATAGAGTGTAGTCATTTTATTACAGTATGTGGGCTATTTGCTATAAAATATTTTCCTAAATTTTAATGAAATAAGTTTATGGGGAAGCTTTTTCATTATATTGAGCTATTTTGTTATATTTTTGGTTTCTGAGGAATATATGAACTGGTTGAATGAGAAGAGTACATGGGTGTAATGAAAATGTTGTCACAACCACGCTTTTTGTATAAAGTTATAGTCGTGCAGCTTGGTAAAATTTTGATATTTATGTTAACTCTCTTTAATGGATATATATTGTTATGTTCTCAGTGGATTACCATTTATTCCATATCTGGATAATTTGCCAAACTTCAATAGATCAGTTGATGGACCAATCAGGCTGCCAATTGTGGATAAATACAAGGTACCTAAAATGTTCTAGAAATTGAGTTTTATGGAAGGTGAAATAATTGTTTTGTTTTAAATTATGAAACAACTTGAATAATTAACAACATAACATAGATGTCTCTTTTTTAATGGCTATATATTATTTCACAGTATAGGTAGACCATAATTTAATCAACCAGCTTAGTTTATTCCAGCTGTTTCCCAGTGAGCCAGTGATCATTTTGTAGAGAGAATCTCATACAAGTAGAACAGCTGAACTCAAAGGATTTGCACATCCAAGTTGATAGATACTGACGAATAGCCTTCCAAAATACTGTGCTAACTGTATTACCGCCAGCAGTATGTGAGTGCTTGTACTACCATAGCTTCACCAACACTGGATGTTAGTCTCTTACAAAAATAAGCTTCATTATTTTTACCTAGATTTTCACCTTGAATTTTTTAAGTTTTGCAGTATCAATATGTAATGTTTTGCCCTCCTTAAATATTTCATTCTTTCATTAGCTCCATACTAAATTTCTTGAACAAGTAGTGTTTTTCCAATTTTATACACGAGGAAACAGGCTCAGATTTTTGAGAGAACCTGAATTCGAACAAACAATTCAGATCTTCAAATGTAAAATTCTGTGCTGTCTCCTGTACCATGCTTTCTTTTTAAATCTTAAGCATACTTATTTATTAATATTATAATTGTACATATGCTTATGACACAAATATTATAGAGTATTTGTTACCTATCCTGTGTTTAAGATTAATCTTAAGCATTCTACCACTTGAGCTAAAGATTTTCTTTATGAGTAAGCCCTGCAGGATTTTACTTTGGGTTTTTGAACTGCTGTAGAGGAGTAATAAAAGTCTGAAACTTGATTTTTTATTTTAAATTTAAACAGGATATGGGCACTGTGGTCCTGGGAAAGCTGGAATCAGGATCTATTTGTAAAGGCCAGCAGCTTGTGATGATGCCAAACAAGGTAAGAATTAGTAATGCTCTTTCTCATTTAGGTTTTCTTTTGAAAATTTGATCAAGGAGCCAGAACTTTTCAAAAGCTTAGGGATTTCCATTAAAAGAAACTTTTTAAATGCAGGATACTGTTTTATTAATGTCAAGTACACAGTTTAATAAAGAATATGTGATGTTCTAGTTATTCAATGACAAATGGGGAAGGGTCAGTAGTAGCACCACATTAGAGCTAAAAGATGCATCATCAAGAGAGCTTCAACTTCATGATTTTACAGGAAGTAAATAGAGATCTGGAGTGGTTAAGTGACTTGCTTCCATTAACACACGGGATTAGTAAGAGAGCCAGGGATGAAAACTCAGGTTTAATCATGATATAATTAGCTTTCAGGTTTTTTTTTTTGTAGTTACATTGGATACTATAAAATACTGTGTCCAAGCTACGCTCCTAATTTGTTTTGAGAGATTTGCCTTTATCATAAATGGGTCTTTTCTTAACTCTTCCTTACCTTATTCTTTAATACCTAATTTCTTGATCTTTGGAGAGGTTTTTGTTAAAATGTGCAAAATCTCCACGAATCATCCTTTGTGTTATTTCTGACTGCTCAATTGCTGATAATTGCAGATGACATGTTACTAAGAAACTGTTACCTGTTTTCCAGAGAGGGTTTCTCTAATAGCTCCAAAAATGTTACTTATGTAGGAAAATGGACCTGAATTATTAGAACCTCCAAATAGAAATTTTGTTAGACTTAAGTGAGAATTTCTTTTTTTTTTTAAAGTTTATTTATTTATTTATCTCCCCAAATCCCCAGTAGATAGTTGTACGTCATAGTTGCACACCTTTCTAGTCGCTGTATGTGGGACTCGGCCTTAGCACGGCTGGAGAAGTGGTGCGTTGGTGCGCGCCTGGGACCCGAACCCAAGCCGCCAGCATCAGAGCGCATGCACTTAACCGCTAAGCCACGGGGCCGGCCCGTTAAGTGAGAATTTCTTTACCATGCTCATTCCAGGCACAGTGAATTAGAAAAGGTATCCGTTGTCAATGTAATGTGTAGGTAGAATTGGCACCTTACAAATTATACTTTGGGATTTCTTGATGCCTTATGCATTGGAGATTAGAGTATCCTATCATAGTATCTTTTCTTAGGTAATTGTTTCTGCAACTTGAAGGTCAGTCACAACTGAATGAATATAATGGTCAGTTTGAATCCTGGCTCAATTTTGTCTGTAGAGCAGTCACAGAAGTAGAGTTTGCTCATAGAGATAGAAGGCAGATTAGTGGTTGCAAGGGGTTGAGGCAGGAAGAACGGGGAGTGACTGCTTAATGGGTACAGGGTTTCATTTTGGGGTGATAAAGATGTTTGGAACTAGATACTGGTGATGGTTTTACAGTGTTGCAAATATGGTAGATGCCACTGAATTGTACAATGTAAAATGGTTTAAAAAGGTAAATTTTATGACTATTTTATCACTATAGAAAGAAAATACAGTTCACGGTAGACAAATGAACTTAGTGCCAGGCTATGGCAATAGGTGAGTGGTCATAATATAGTCATTACAGCTTCTCTGGAAGCTGTCACTTTATACTGATTACCGGGCAGGTCAGTATAGCATGTCCTATAATAGTTGTTAAGCAAGCCTTAAAAACTCACTTCACTTTAGTCCTGCTGAGTCTCAGTGGAACAGATTTAAATATTTTAAAAGATGTAGATGCCAGACTATTTTACATTAAAAAATTAATGGGTAGGCCACCTAGGAAATGGGAGAAAATAATTGTGTATCATAAATCTGATAAAGGGTTAATGTCCAGAATATATCAAGAACTCCTGCAACTCAACAAAAAAAAACCAAACAACCCAACTAAAAACTGAGCAAAGGGCTTAAATAAACATTTCTCTGAAGATGTGCAGATGGCCAACAAGCACATGAAAAGATGCTCCAACATCAGTAATTATTAGGGAAATGCAAATTTTTTTTTTTTTTTTTTTTTATAATTTTGTTTATTTTTCCCCCAAAGCCCCAGTAGATAGTTGTATGTCACAGCTGCACATCCTCTTAGTTGCTGTATGTGGGACGCGGCCCCAGCATGGCCGGAGAAGCAGTGCGTCGGTGCATGCCTGGGACCTGAACCCGGGCCGCCAGCAGTGGAGCGTACGCACTTAATCACTAAGCCACGGGGCTGGCCCCGGGAAATGCAAATTAAAACCACAATGAGGTAACACCTCACACCCATCAGGATGACAGCCTTCAAAAAACCAAAATAATAAATGTTGGCGGGGATGTGAAGAAATTGAAACCCTTGTGTACTGTTGATAGGAATGTACAATTGTGCAGCTGGTGTGGAAAACGTAATGGCGTTTCCTCAAAAAATTTAAAAAATTAAAAATACAATAATATGACTAGCAGTTCCACTTCTGGGTATATACCTGAAGAACCAATGTTCATAGCAGCATTATTTGCAATAACTAAAATGTGTAAGCAACTTATAGTGTCTATTGATGGATAAATGGATAAACCAAATGTGGTATATACATACAATGGAATATTGCAGTCGTGTGTCACTTAACGATGGGGATACGTTCTGAGAAATACGTCGTTTGGTGATTTCATTGTGCGAACACCTTAGAGTATACTTAGACAAACCTAGATGGTATAGCCTACTACACCCCTAGGCTCTAGGGTACTAATCATGTGTGACCACCATTGTATGTGCTGTCCATCATTGACCAAAACATCGTTATGTGGTGCATGACTGTATTCAGCTTAAAAAGGAAGGAAATTTCTGACATATACGACAACACAGATGGAACCTTGAGGGCATTATGCTAAGTGAAATAAGCCAGTCACAAAAAGATAAATAATGTATGATTCCACTTACATGAAGTACTTAGAGTAGACAAAATCCTTAATACCTTTTATAAACTAAGAGAATTTGTTGGTCTCAATCTTAATTTTTGATAACTGTGGATTAACTGAAAGATTAGACTAAATATTGTTTAGCCATAAAAAGCTGTATTTGGGGAGAGAAATTGTTATGCTGGATTATTTGGGGAAAAAGTAGTAAACAATACTTGTTTAGTTTAGTTTGTGTATGGTGGAACTGCTAGTTTCTACCCCTTTATCCCGATATGTAAAGAATTTAGCTAACAAGTATGGCTCTATTTCAGGTCTTGGAATGAATTTTAACAGACAGGTATCAATAAGGTTTAAGTTGCCTTTTGGGAAAGAAAACCATTATGGGGGTGGTAAGCTACTAGGTCTTAGCAAGTGACAATTTGTAGAATTATGGTATGGAATGTGATTCTGGATTCTCCACTGTTTATCTACCATCATGAGATAATTGATATTTTTAAAACATATACCAGAAAACAAAACAACAGCCTTCAAGACAAATTGAACTATCTCCAAGGGCAGAAATGGAGTAAAATAAGGGAATATTTGTGGGTATTTCTTTTAATAATGGAGTTTTTTTCCCCATCTATATGCTCTTTTGAAAAAACTTATTGTGGTAAAAGATAGGTAAAATTTACCATTAGTGACATTTGTACATTCACAATATTGTGCAGCCATCACCACTATCTAGTTTGAGAACATTTTTGTCACTCCCAAAAGGAAACCCTGTACTCATTAACCAGTCAGTATGCTTTTAAAGCTTAATTGTTCAAATAAATTTTGACAAGTTCACTCTTCAGATATTTAGGGATCGATAGGTAATGGAAGCTATGTTTATTAAATCCTAGAATTTAATAATAATAATCACATCTATAAAATAAAAATATAAATGTTTGATTTAATATTTAATTTTGAAAAACTGAAAAAGGCAAATGCTAGTTTATACTGTATTCTATTTGGAAATTATTAGGATGTGAGACTAAAAGATGACAAATTAATATTTTAATTGATAGTTTGTACTTAGAGGATATGATTTTCATTAAGTTGACAGTTTGTACTTATAGGATATGATTTTCATTTAAGTTCATGTCATACAAATGTAATAAAGTTTTATATTCAAATAAGTATTTTGGCTAATCAGCAACCACAGAAAAATGTGACTTACAAGTCTTCAGTGAACAGTCAGATCATTTTACGTTCTGTAATGTAGTGAATGTGTCAGAAAACCTCCAGTCTTGGTTTGTTTTTAAGCACAACGTGGAAGTTCTTGGAATCCTTTCCGATGATGTAGAAACTGATTCTGTAGCCCCAGGTGAAAACCTCAAAATCAGACTGAAAGGAATTGAAGAGGAGGAGATTCTTCCAGGATTCATACTTTGTGATCCTAATAATCTTTGTCATTCTGGACGCACATTTGATGCCCAGGTAAACAGTTATTCTTGGTATCTTAGTGATCTTTACTGTCTGAATGAAATTGGAATTTAAATGCCCTTTGTCCTCATTATTGGTGACATTATTGGACACAACAACCATGATGTCTGTCTCACACACATGAGGTCTTCAAGATGGTACAAGTTCTTACTGGGTAGGTAGTATTCTTTGTTAAGTTCCTTTTGATTTTTGATCTTCTGTTGATAATATATTACTTAACATTTTGCTCAAAGTGTCTTTCACCTTAAGTAGAGCACAGTTGCCTTGGAAGTCATGGTTTGTCTGCTCATTCAGAGCAAATAACTTTCCAGACAGGAAAACACACACAATTTCTCCATATTAATAGCAACCTGACCTCCCCAGGAGAATGACAGAGTAAATGATTGGTGTAGCTCACTGAATTTTTGATTTCTATCACAAAGTATGACAACTAATCAAGTTACACTTTGATGCCAGATACAAGTTGTTTACTTTTACTAGACCTCAGATATTGAAAAACGGATAAAACTATAAGTTCACATCTAGGGGGAGAAAAAACTAGCACATGAGCAGCAATGATTAACTTAATTTCTTGGGGGGAGTATAGAGGAAAAGCTTCCCAGAAAAGAAAGTTGCCTGCTGTGTTTTTAAAGTTTGAGCGCTTGCCAAGATCAGTAGGGTAAAGATATCAAAGTTCATGCTTGGAGGTCAGGCGACCTGACCCATCACCTCTAACACAAAAATAACTTAAGTTGGTGTCCTGCTGAGATGGTGAGTTACACATTGTTGTGGTACTATATAGCACTTTACAACATTGAATTCTTTTCTACTTTAGAAAAGAATTTATCTATCTGGAGATAAATATGTGAATTTTTTTGTTTGACAGATAGTGATTATAGAGCACAAATCCATCATCTGCCCAGGTTATAATGCGGTGCTGCATATTCATACCTGTATTGAGGAAGTCGAAATAACAGTGAGTTTTAAGATAATTTGGGGTTTTTGTGTGTTTTAAGACCATTTCATCTTGATAATTTCTAGTTGACACAGTGATGTACTCTTATTTGTACTCCTATTCTTAATTTAAAGATTGTGTTATTTGACATTATTCTGATCTCATCTTTTTTTCTTGGCTAGGCCTTAATCTGCTTGGTAGACAAAAAGTCAGGAGAAAAAAGTAAGACTCGACCCCGTTTTGTAAAACAAGATCAAGTATGCATTGCTCGCTTAAGGACAGCAGGAACCATCTGCCTTGAGACCTTTAAAGACTTCCCTCAGATGGGTCGTTTTACCTTAAGAGATGAGGGTAAGCCTTTAAATTGATGTCTAGCAGTATAATTAAGATGCTTAGCTTTGGGAATCTTCATCTGAGTACAGTGCACATTATAACAAGTTCATAGAAAACTTGGATATGTGTTCTATAACATACTCATATAATAAGTATTTTGTGAGTTGAATGAATTGAACAACAGACAGAATTGACCATGCATGTTAGCAGTAATGCTCCATATGAAGAATCTTAATTTTGATATTTTGCAAGTAATGGGTTTTGAGTCATTTTATTTACTAAATAAGACATTTCTATGATGAAATCCTTTGTAATATGTGTGATTAAAGCCCATCTTGAAGGGCTTAGGCCTGTAGGGTAGGTTTTTGCTGAGCAAGCCTCTGAGGTAGACATCTTGCCATTTTTTTGTGGTCAGAAGAAATCATTTTAAATTCAAATATGATAAACATTCACTACACTGATATTGGGGGAGATAAAAGAAATACATGTATTGATAGTCTTTTAAGACCTAATTTTTCCACAAGTTGACTATTCCTGTTCTTCTGTGTGTGCTTGCATCTCTGCCTGCCTCTGAGAGAATCGGGACACCTGTTTCCTGTCTTTCGTCCATGAAATTCTTTGGTATCATGAAAACAAAATGACTTTTATTAAACATTTCTCTAAGGATTGTTAATATTTCTAACTTAGATAACTATTTCAAGACTGTGGAAAACTTTACATAAAACTTTATGGTTCAGTTGAAATATACAATAGTTAATTCACATGTGAGTTCCACTTCCATTCAGCAAAAAACTTACTGTGTATCTGCCGAATGTCAGGAACTGTGCCCAGCACTGGGAGTGTGAGGATGAATCCAGTCTCTGGACCTTGTTTCAGAGAATCTGTATAAAGACAGTATTCATTTTATTTTAAAGTCCTTATCTTAAAACTCTTCTTGGGATAAGCGAAACTGGTTATTGAGTTTGTTTTATTAATATAACAAAATGAGAATTTTAGTTACCAATTAGAACCTGATAAAATCAGGCAGACAGAAGAAATTAATGTAGCAAAAGTTTTTAACCCCAGAATTATTTTTTCCTAAAGAAAAAATGTTTGGCTTTTAGGTTTTCACAAGACCTAATGGGTTTTGTATCTCTTATAATAGGCCTGAGTGCCTTTTTTAACAGCTTTATTGAGATAATTTACATACTAGAAATTGACCTGTGTTAAGTATACAATTCAGTGAATTTTAGAGTGTTTACAGAGTTGTACAGTCATCACCACATTCTAATTTTGGAACATTTAGAACATCTAAAAAGAAACTCTTGTACCTGTTTACAGTCACCTCCTATTTCTACCTTCAGCCCTAGGCAATCTACTTTTTCTATTTGTCTGTTTTGGACATGATAAAATAAAATAGAATTTTTATCTAATAGATAAAAAATAAATAGAATCATACAATTTGTGGTCTTTAGTGTCTACTTTATTTCACTCAACATGTTTTTGAAGTTCAACCATGTTGTAGCATGTATTGTATATACTTCATTCCTTTTTATTGCCAAATAGTAATTTCAATGTGTGGATATTCCACATTTTACTTGTCAAAACATAGGTTTTTGATATAAGAAATCATATCTCTTCAGCTCCCCCCAAAAGACCCACTTATTAAGACTACCTAATCAGAAATCATGCCTTTGGTACAGCCAGTTAATTAGTAATTTATGTTGTAAAAAATACTTTTATAATTTAAAATAAGCTTTAATACCTTACATAGCCTTGCTGTTAACTACTGAAAAGGTTTTGTTTTTGTTTTTGTTTGTTTTAATTTTATTTCTAGGTAAGACCATTGCAATTGGAAAAGTTCTGAAACTGGTTCCAGAGAAAGACTAAGCATTTTCTTGATGACCCTGCACAATACTGTGAGGAAAATTGACTGCAAAAGCTTACTTCACACCGCCTTCTCTTATTTTCTGCCCATTGACAAAACTCTCCCCATATTTTGCAAAGACAAAATTCACAGCAAAAGTCCACATTATGTCAGCTTTCTCATATTGAGAGCTCTGCTATGCCACTGTTGAATTTTTCCCAAGATTTTTTTCTTCCCCTCTCAAACTCTGCTTCCTTGGACAGATTTGGCAATAGCTTTGTAAGTGATGTGGACATAATTGCCTACAATAATGAAAACCTACAGGAATTTTTTTATTTTTCATTTTCCCCCTAGGTATACTTAGTCTTTTTCCCCCCCAGGCAGATCATTCTGAGTGTGCGAGTGTGTGTGCACATGTTACAAAACAACTACCATGTTAATAAAATATTCAATTTGAAACCCTTTTCGGTATCTGAATTGCTTTTGAATAATGTTTTTTATCTGGATGTAACATTGTTGCATTAGCTTTTTAACTTGACCAAGTAATTGACTACATTTTATTACTTGGACTTTTCTAAACTCTTTCCCTATCCACTACTTTAAATGAGGCATTTACAAACACTGTTCCAGTTTGTATTAAAGGAAAGAATTAGTTTGACCCCTTCTTCTAATGGTGAATGCATACATACGATTAACTACCTTTATGCAACTGTGACACTGCTTTATTAGGTCTGTCAGTTATTTTCTGCCAATTTATATTTTAACATGATTTCTTAAACACAGTAAGTTGTTTTAAAATAAAAGAACAGCCTACTGTAGTTTTTCTAAGTAAAGCATAATGAAATTGTACCCCTACAGAAAATTCCATTAACTTGTTAAATTAGTGGAATCTACAATAAAGAAAGCATGTCGGGACCTGGCAAAAATGCCTCCTTTAGTATTTATAAGAGCTGCATGCATCTAGTATGAAAACCGTATCAATTGCAAGTGCCAGTTCTACAAATTACTCCGTTTACTCTTTGTATCAGTTATTTTCAAGGTTGGATGATCCTTGCTGGTTAAAGCTAAATCTCATCCAGCAACTAAATGAACACATATTTAGAACCATCAGAATCTGCACAGACTTAAAGTTAACAGTGATAAGTAGATCAAGCACAGTATAAGTTTTTCTCAATTATTTGAAATTGACTTTTCTTAAATATAAAGCTGAAATTTGCTAAACCGTGTTTTGGATGAACCACAATGTAGCATTGTGGTGGTTTTTAGATTGAAGGCTTTCTGCTATAAGTGTCATGACTTTGAAATTTTTAATGAGAATAAATAGAAATGGAAGAGAGACAATTTGTGGGTTTATTGGAAGCCCCCCTTGATTTTGAGTGTTGCCATTTATCAAAGACTTGGCCTCTGTTAGATTGTGGTTTATCTCTAAATAAGATACTTTGTAATTGTATATTTAATGACACGTCCCTTTCTTGTAATCTTCCTCCTCGGAAAAGAAAAGCCTAGTCAGACTGTGTTTCTAGTCACAAAAGATAAAACTTGATCTAATCCTGTTTCCCTAACTACAGAATTCCCATTCATGTCATGAATGAGGCTACATCTATGGACAGAGCAAAGTTATTGTCCTGCAGCTTCCTATAACTATACTCATGGATATTAAATGGCTTGAAATTTAAATAAATTTTATTATGTCTGCAAATCTCTGGGCTTTTATTTTTCTGGGCAATATGGGAGCTTTAATCAGTACATAATAACTCTTTGTACTTCCAAGTTACTAAGAAAAAAATACTAGCAATTGCTTGGATTTTAATGACTCTTTAAAAGCTCAAGAGTCATTGAAATGATTTCCAAAGATTGATTCCCATTTTTAAATTGAACACATTTTAAAAAACCAGTTATGTTTGCTATTAAAATATTTACACTTTTAGAATATTATGTGCATGTTGCCAAGACTCTTAAGTAAAACGACATAGAGGTATCAACTGTGAAGGGCTTACTTCTGAAAAATAAAAGGTAATACATATAAATGTAATTATGAAATAAAAATTTCATTGGATTCTTGCACATTTGTGCAAATAATTAGATTATTTAAAAGAAACCTCTTTGTTAGATTAACCGACACCATGCATTTTGTGAGCTTTTAAGTTCTTTGGGAAGTATTCTCAGTGAAGTTGATGCATTTTAAACTCCTAGTGACACTGGCTGTTTCTCTGGATGAGGAGATAAAATGTCTGAAGTGAACTGGCAGTGTGTGGAGATGCTGGGCCTTTAAAAAGCAATACAGATTCTTGTGCTGTCATCTTGTCTTCTGCAAGTGCAAGCATGTTTTTATGGTTGACAAAGCAAAAATAGGGTAATTGCCTGCAGATTTATGATGTTACAGACCTAAACATTTTTTTCTCTATCTTTAGCAGAGATATGTTTTAGAATCATAATTTTCTTTGCATCTTTTTACATTAATGATATTCTTTACACAACTTTTATGCTAGATTATTTAACTATAGTTTTTTAAATTAATGAACTGAGTTTAAGAGAAGAAAGATATCATTGAAATGTACATCTAAGTAATTGCCATTTTAAACCCTTATTTCTTGCTGTGGGAGAGGGGAAAATATAGTATCTATTTCTTGTTTTTAATTTGCAAAAAGGACTTATCCAGTGAAAATCTATGTAAAATCAAACCAAAAGAGTTGGACTGAGTATGTATTGCCATGAAATTAAGTAACAAATAGTAAAGTGTTCTTGAAAAATTAAGCCCATGTATATTTCTGTGTTTTGAATTGAAAGTCTTGAAATATGTGATAACTGAATGTATAAACTTTGTAAATTGTAAGAGTACAGATTGTTCACTGTAACAAGAGGTAATGCATACTTGTCTGCTAGTTACATAAACTACAAGAACTGCTTCTACAATATGGGATGGACTTCGAACGTGATACAATTGAACAGTTACTGGCATCCTCTCAGCTGGAGCTATGCAGATATTTTGGGTCATATTTTCAACCAGATGCAGTTTTGCAACCCAAGAAAAAAGTGAACCTATGGTCAAACGCTGCTTCCATGATGAACTTATGAAAAAAATCAGCTCAACTCCCTGGCAATCTTCAGGAACACTAGTTAAGACTAATTACTCCATGGTCTTTGATGATTATTCCACATGACAGCACACTTCCTCGTGTGCATGGACTTCCTCGTGGACTGCTGCTTCATGGATGATAGCGTCATTGCTTTGGGTAGGGATTTAAGGTAGTTGAAGGACAAATAGTTTTTATTACGGCTCTTAACATAAGGCAACTTTCAACTTTTAAAAACCCTTTGTGAAAATTCTGGTTACAGCACTATCGCTCCGGTTGTAGGATGATTAAATGTTATATTCAGTGTTGGCCTACCTTATCAGAATAAAGTGTGCCATTAATCCTCTCACAGACATATGTAAGGTAGATAGCAATCAACAGAATTTGGGGGACAATTTTCTGTCTCCAAATAATATGGCTTAAATTTCCTCCAGCTAATTTTTCAGTGATTCTAGCAGATGTCATCTAATATATTCATGATCCTGTTTGTTTCTTTAGAGATCTTGCCATGGCAACAGCTTGTTAAATAAATAAATGTAATTACACATGCACAACTCAAAAGACTCACTGGGTTTAAATTTAGCAGTCAGTTGGTTATATTAGATTTCATAGTAAATGGAATAGGAAGTATTTTTATTTTCCTGTAGTAGTTCAGTGGATTCCATTTGAACCAATTTACTGCCAGAATTCAGATAGAGTAGATTTGGTTCAACTTGTAATGGTTTTGGCTCTAGAATATTCTTGATTTTCAATATCCTAGAACATATGAGTCTTCCCTTCAATAAATACACTTTTCACATACCTCTAATCCTATGCTTCCTTGAAACAGTAAAATGCTAGCCAATTTGTTTCCTAAGGAATGTTATAAGGGCCTGGAGGTGTGCGAGTGGGGATTAAACCTTTATGTTCTCCAATATAAGGGAAAAGGAGATAGGCACCATGTCTGATTAGGCAGGATTTCTTAAGCAACCCGTGGAATGGTAATTGTCTTTTCTGCCTTGTCTCACATGCCATTCACATTGTGCCCTTTAAAACTTAACATGGAAACCTCAGGTTTGTGGACAGCAAACGTAGAATGACATTTTGTGCTTCCTGAGGCTCCCCTCTGCCTGGCAGGTTAGCTTAGTGCTTCAGATGTCAGCCCGTGAGTCCCTGCTACCTCCTCTCCTGCTGCCCGGGAAGAGCGCTGGTGCTGGAGCTGGAGCCCTGGCACTCCTCAGGTGATCATCACATGCATTAGGTGAAGCTGCGGCCTGAGCCCGCAAGGCCTGCGTTTTCACGACTCAGTTGGGCTCTCAGAAAGTGACCTCTTAGCTCATTTCTTCTGTTTGTCATGTGGCTTTCTCTCAGGCCAGGAATTAGTGACTAGTTTTCACTAGACAGCAGGTTAATACCTAGCTCTCATTTTTTAAAAAACAGAATTAAAGGGAACTGATGAGGTTTGCTGGGTTATTTAACCTAATTCCAAAGCAAGGCAGAATGCTCTAGGTAGGAATTATGGGAATCCAAGGTAAAGAAACCTTTTTCTTATGATGTGTAGCTACCTACTGTGCCTGACTTGGTGCCTGTGTGAGGATTAAGCCCTTAGTCTGCTCTTGCAATTATTCAAATGACTGAAGTTAAAAAAATTTGCTTTTGTAATAACAATAAAAATTGTCATCTTCCCTTTTGAAGGATTTGTCTGTTTGTTTATAACCACCTGTATTGTATCATACCCTAAGTGTATCTGTTTTCTGTACAATCCTTTATTTTTGTATCAAGTATTGGAACCATTGACCAGCAGATTTGTTGGATGGACCTAATAAGCTGTCACATAAGCAACTTACAAACGTGTGGTCTGCTTACATTTGGTCTGCAAGGCCTTTGTACAGTGTATATGACTGAATCTTAACAAAACAAAACCCTATAGTAAGTTAGAGATGCTTAATAATAAATCACTGTATCACACTATGTGGTTTTATGTGAACAGAGTTGGGGAAACCAATGATTCTCTCAGAACTACGAGCCTCTGTATTCAGAATTTTTAATAATGATCAAGAGACTAAATAGTACTTAGCCTTCTTTACTGTGCAAGGGCAAGAAATGAATGATAAAGAGGCTGTATACACAGTGTTAATGGCATGGCAGCAATACGTTCACTCATCTTTTATTCCATGAGTTAGAATGAGCTCTCGCTTAAACTATCGTTAAGTGAGAGGAACCCACTTCAAGGTTCTGGTTATCAGTCTCTAGTATAGGTGTTTGGCATTAAGTGAGTTTTAGCTTAAACAAAACTCATGAGCAAACAAAGCAGGGGTTCATATTATAAAACCTGTAAATAAATGGCTTGTGACATGTCCCAGCAATCACATTTTTCTACTCGTAAACGACTAGGTCTCCAGAATTAAACAGAATTAAAGGGAACTGATGAGGTTTGCTGGGTTATTTAACCTAATTCCAAAGCAAGGCAGAATGCTCTAGGTAGGAATTATGGGAATCCAAGGTAAAGAAACCTTTTTCTTATGATGTGTAGCTACCTACTGTGCCTGACTTGGTGCCTGTGTGAGGATTAAGCCCTGTGTTCTAAATGTTGTGTTTCAGATCAGACCACACAGAGGCACTATACTGCAGTGGGCAGAAGACTGACAATAGAGAATTTTACACTTCATGACCCACAGAACCATTTTCAGAGAGACAAGTTCTTTTTATCAGTGCATCTTAAAAGCAGAAAAAGAGCGTCAATACCTTGGATGCTGTAGCCTTGTAGTGAAGAACTATGTATCTCCCAATCTAGGATAAATGATGGCCAAATTACAATAAAATAGAATCTTACAGTTTTCTAAATTTAAAAAGACCTTAAAAAACAA